TAGAGGGAAGACCTCAGAATGCAGTATGGCGTTCATGCCGATCCACCTTTCCACTTCTAAACAAAGCTGTTGTGAGAGGTGGAAAGAGTCAAAACCAGGGATGGAGTCTAACAAGAAAAGAAAGTGATACCTTGCTTTTGTTCTCACCTTTAACTCTGAAAGGTATTACAAGTAACTTTTATTTTTTTTTTTATTTTTTTAAACTTATTTATGATAGAGAGAGAGAGAGAGAGAGAGAGAGGCAGAGACACGGGCAGAGGGAGAAGCAGGCTCCATGCACCGGGAGCCCGATGTGGGATTCGATCCCGGGCCTCCAGGATCGCGCCCTGGGCCAAAGGCAGGCGCTAAACCGCTGCGCCACCCAGGGATCCCTACAAGTAACTTTTAATTAAAGAAGCTCACCAAGGACCGAGCTGCATGGATAAAGTTAAACCACAGATCATCTTAAACTTTTCCTTCAGCCTCACAGGATGCCTCAAGGGACTGCTAGCATCCTGCTTAACCTGCCTTTGTCCCAGTTCTCCTGGGGGAGCAATCAAAAGCACATCTGCTCTTGCTATCTCCCTGGAGTCCTAACAGCCAACTGAGATAATATATAAGAAAGCACTTGGATGAACAAGCAGACACACTTATTCAAAATCTACTGACTGGGAGGGATCCCTGGGTGGTACAGTGGTTTGGTGCCTGCCTTTGGCCCAGCGCATGATCCTGGAGACCCGGGATCGAGTCCCACGTCGGGCTCCCGGTGCATGGGGCCTGCTTCTCCCTCTGCCTGTGTATCTGCCTCTCTCTCTCTCTCTCTCTCTCTCTCTGTGACTATCATTAAAAAAAAAAAATCTACTGAATGGAAAAGAGTGACCTGCAGGCACGTGTTAGGTACTGAGGATACACCTAGTAAGGACACATCTCAGCACCCAGGAGTTTATACAAACTACTCAGGTACTAGTCAGCAACTTGTTTTCCTGCAGAAGTTAACGAACCTTGACTACATGCATTGTGGAACTTTTGTTTGTAGTTATGCACCAGTCACTTAAAAACGAGTTTAGTTCTTTCATTCTTTCTTTCATTAATGCCCCCTTCACACTTAGCATCCTAAAACATCCTACAGAAGGGTTGCCCCCACATCAAAATGGAATGTGGTCGCATCAGCCTGTGTTGAGTGGTCCTCATCTTCAGTTGGATTAAATGATGAGAAAACCTAATATTCTACAATCTGATCCCAAGGGGCAAAACCTGTGGTGCAACCCAACATCTGCTGTGGACCTTCTCAGACCACAGCAGGACCAACCCGAGATCTTCCCCAGAGGCCCTGAAGAAAAGGAGCGTCTTGGGTGGTAGCTGGGCATCAGTATGTTTTCTTTTAATTTCTATAAGAGGTGCTGATATCAAAATCTGAGATTCATTGGTTTCAAAACCAATAAACTATGGGAGTTAATTTTGACAGGAAGGTACGTATAATTTCCTGTTGCAACTCATATTTCAATCTACCATCATCTACCCTGAACTACCCCTAATTAGCTTCCCAGAATACTTGGGCCTCCTTCCAATTCACCCTCCATATTGTAACCAGAGTGATCTTTTTGAATTAAAAACATCATCATGCCATCTTCTGCTAAATCTCTGCTTAAAATACTTTAATGGCTTCCTACTCCTCTTAGGAAGAAAATGAAAATCAGAAACTCAGCCACGATTCCTAAAATGTCATTTTCTCCCCTTCAGTCTGATTTCATAACCTGTTCCCACAGTGTCTTCAGCTTCCTATGACTGTACTATCCCCCTTCTGCCATAGGTCCTTTGCACATCTGATTCCCTCTGTCACCATTGCCTGAACTCCTTACGTTCATCTCACTCACTTGTGTCCTTTGTTTGATTAAGTTATTTCTTTCCTTAAGATCATTTCAGCTCAGGTATAACTTCTGGGAATCTTTCCTTGAAGTTCTCAATCAGATCATGTTTTTAGCTCTCTGCCTTTCCCTACTGTGCACCTTACAATACCATGTACTTTCTTTCATATCATCCCTGTAAAAACATTTTATTTATCTGTGATTACTTCGTCTGTCTCACTTAGTAGTCTAGAAGCTCATGAAAGCCCAGACCATATCTGTTTTGCTTGGTTTGTTATAATTTACTTGCCATCATTTTCCCATGTCATGCCTGACATAAGATAGACACTCAATAAATATCTGCCACTTGGCTGGTTGGTTGGTTGGTTGGTTGGTTGGTTGGTTGGTTGGATGAATGAATGACCAGAAATTCATGGTGATCTAGGACTTAGGCTCTCTTGCCTTTGCTCTCCTTCCTATTCTCTGAAAGGAGTTGCCATCCCTGTTTCAGATGATAATTACAGCCCAAGGAAGTCAGAGGCTGATGACTGATGAGCCCAAAAAAGATGCATTGACAGCCGTGTTAGGCTTGTGAAGCACCTGAGAGCCTCTGAAGGCAAAAGCATGACATCGAGTTTGTTTCACTTGAGTGGGCAAAGCTGCAACAGCAGGGATGAAATCCTCTGCCTTGGCCCCTTGATGCTTTTGTCTCCTGTGCAGAGTAGCAAGCCCAGGGGCCTGTATTCACATCAACAGAGCTTCCTAATACCTGACCGACTCTAAAAGCATGACTCCTCTGAAGGCAGCTCTACTGCTAGAGCAGTCCCAACATTGTGACTCCCCTCTCTCACCTGCTACATACACCGGGAACCTTGTCAGGATGGATAATGAGGAATACTGTCAGGCCAGAGAGAATAGCATGACACACAGTGGACATCCAGACAGAGCTTGGGAGGAGTTTTAGGTAGTGGAAAGAGATCGAAGTCCAGGCCCACCAAAGCAGACTGGTGAATACCAGACAGAAAAAGCCAGGCAGGGAGACTTGAGGGCAGCCCCAGCCAGGCTTTTCCCAGGTGTGTGGGTAGCTGCTGTCACTCGTGGGGGCTGACCTGTGAGCCTCCCCTCTGTGCTCTTGCCCATGGTGACCCTTATGTCATGTCTGCTCTCTATTTCTCAGTATCTCTCTCTTTGCCCCTCCCTGCCTCCTTCCCTACCTCTTTCCCCTTCCTCCTCCCCCTCTCTCCTCCCTATCCTCCCTCCCTCCCTCACTGCCTCCCTTTCTCCCTTTTTCTCCTTCCCTCTTCACTACCCGCCCCCCTCTCAGAAATTATATTGCTTGTTTTATTCCATGGCTAACCCAGGTAGTTATTCCTGTATTTTGCTCAGATACTCATCCCAAAAAACGCGAGTAGATTTTAAGGTGGTTTCTTCCTCTGTGCCTGTACCTGGGTTTGGCTGGCAGCAGCTCTGTGGACAATCTAGAAAACAGGGGAGAACTGACCAGAAATGGCACCAAGAAATTGACCAGTCTGATTTGTGTAAATGAAGGACAAGTCAGAAAGAATGGTTGACATTTATGTTTATTGGTGAAGGGAATTCAAATAATTACACAATGTCTGGGCTTGTGGATCATTGCTCTTGTAGTTCTGAATGGAGTTTCTTTGTCCCACCCGACACGTCCTCCCAGAGAGTTGGCCCCTGAGTACACCCCCCCCCCCCCCACACACACACACAATGCTTGGCTGGGCATAGATCAGAAGAGTAGGTCACAGAGATTCATAGAATTTGAACTGCTTTTCCTTTCACTGTGAATTAATCTTTTAAATGTCAGCATTTTAAACTTGGCCTTTTCAAAAAATATGATACCATATGAACCTTACTTAATCGAAAATACTTTTTTTACTTCAAAGGGTTTTTTTTTGTATGTGTGTATATATGTATGTTTTTAGGGCTTTTTCCTCCTAAAAATGGGAAAAGCTAACAAAACAAGAGGAACTTGATAAAGGATGGGCTGCATGAGAAGGAAGCTGGTTTCTTTAGGAATCTCTGTTATTCCAAAAGTGTTTTTTTTTTTACAGGTGTGGGATTTTGGAAAGCCGACTTTTATCCTTCTTCTCCTTGCCTCCCATGGGAGGCAATTTAGAATTGTATGATTCCAGTCCCGCTGTAAAAGGAGTATGGCACGCCTTTTACAATTGCATGGTTTTGACAGTCATTTTTTTGATCCAGATTTTTACAGATGACTAATTAACTCACATGTTGTATAACAAACCTTTGAGTTAAGACATCTATGCCCATTTCATAGATGAGGTAACTGAGACCCAAGGAGTCTGCATGAAGTCGTATGGCTTGTTAATGGCACCCTGGGATTCAAGCCTGGAGGAGCCATCTGTGCTTTATCCAACTATAATGAATGAAATGCATGTCCAGAGAGATGGATTCACATCTAGGTCTCCTGCTAACTAGCTGTATTAACTTTGATAATTAAATCTTAACATACTAAAAAAATAAATAAATAAATAAATCTTTCCATACTTCAGTTTCTCTACCTATAAAATGGGCAAGCATTGCCTATTTTTCTCTCCCCACTAAGATTCCATGAAGAATAAAATGGTAACATTTTGATTGCACAAAATACCAAAGTATAAAAGAATTAACCATCATTGTCTTAAATAATGATAGGGTTGAGTCCAATGTCATATCAGGTATGAGGCAAGGTTTCTTTTATATTTCCTCTAACATGGTTAGGGAACCAGAAATGAGAATGGGATTCAGGGGTCCTGAACATATGGGAAGGGGTATATGACCATGTAAGGGAGGCTTAATCTCTAAAGCTGTGTGTGGACACCTTTTATTCATGTGAATGATAACAGTATAAACAGATGCCTCAGGGAAATTGAATATCAAATTGGAGCTGATTATCAAACACTTAGTTTTCCAAACCTTGAAACTTTCGGATGTCGGTGCCCTTCACGTTTGGAGAACATCCATCTTGGTGAGCTCCTGTCTGCCAGGGACTGTCACAGAGATTCTGTCAGAGGCAGACAGATGCTCCCAGCTGTCAGAGGGAGCCAGAGTCTGCCATTAGCCCTGAGCCAGGGAGCAGAACAAGCCCCAGCCTCTGAAGGGAGGCAGCCAGCACCAACTCCCCTTCTCTGATGGTGGGCTGTTTTTCAGGGTGACGTCCAGAGGACACTCATCCAAGTGGACTTTGGTGATGGCATCGCAGTGTCTTATGTCAACCTCAGCTCCATGGAAGACGGGATCAAACACGTCTATCACAACGTGGGCATTTTCCGAGTGACCGTGCAGGTGGACAACAGTCTGGGCTCTGACAGCGCCGTCCTGTACTTACATGTAACTTGTATGTTATTACTGTTGTTGGTTTATGACATATTTAAAATATTGCGTCCTTTTAAAGTATAACCCAAAGTTTCATGTCTAGAAGCAGCTTACCAGTTATCTCTAAGGAGATGGGGAAGGAGAAAAAGAGAGCCAAGTGGGGAGAAAGTACAAAGAAAGTCAGGGAGTGGAACTTGAATAATCCTAGAATTTGTTGCTTGAAATTATGCACGCTGTACGTACTGTGCCTTTTCCAGGGGGCCTCCGAGACTGCATACCTGGGTCTGCGGGCTGGGCCAGAGCAGCTTACTGAGCTCTCTGATTGCATGTGAATTTGTCTTTTTTTTTTTTTCTTAGTCAAAACCATTTGAAAACAATTTTCACATATGGCTCAATCTAATACAATGAGAATTAGCGCAAGCGATGGAATTTCTACCCATCTAGTTATTCTTCTCTTTTCATGATACATCTCACTGTTTATAACGCTTCTAAAGACTTTTGCTCCTTTTTGTAAAGTATTTCCTGTTTGTTTGTTTTTTTTTTATCTGTAATGTTTGGTGTTAGAGGGAAGGTGATGTTGAGAGAGGGAAAGAGCTGCATTTAGAAGTAATTCCAAGAAGTGTTGAAGTGTTTGTCCCATCAAGGAAAGTAAAGATGTACTAAATATGGGGAGATTGTGACAGCTTCTAAGTTCTGTGTAGTACAACTGTGTGCCATAAATGCCGCTTGTGGCAGGTGTGTGAATGTCCCCAAACAGGCTTAGGACTTGTTTCAGTTACTACAGAAATGCTTTGCTTTAAAATAAAAGTAGCTATGTGAAGCCCCAGTGACCTAATGGATAGGGTGCTGGCCTTCTAAAATGAAAGTAGCTCCTTCTATGAATGGCCTTATCCAAATTAATTCTAAATTCTAGACCAAGAGCATAAAGGCTGGGCCATATTCCATGCCTCTTACCTGCATCTTGCACACTGAACTGAGTATAGAACATACCAACTAGAATCTTTTTTTCTTAAGCTACTGTGGTCCAGTGGGAGGACAAGACTATTTAGGGAGTCCCTGAGCAATTGTTCATTACCGACAATTCCGGCAGTATTAGCAATTCTTGGTCTTTCTCTCCCACACATTCATGACAAAGGTGCTTTGAAGAAACACATCCTCCCTTCTTTAGGTTTAAGCAAACCCTTACAAGATTCCCAACCTGCTTGGTTCCTCCTACGTCTTTTCAGCTAATGTTTATTAAGCAATTACTATGTGCCGGGCCTTAAGCTAAGCAAGCTCTTTACCTATATGATTTCACTTTTCAAAATAACCTGATGAAGAAGGCATTATTAGAAACCCTCCTTTACCCAGAACAGTGGGCATCAGAGGGCTTGAATAATATATTTGAAATTGCAGCCTACAAAGCCAGGCTTTAGATTCAGGTTTGCCTGTCTCTTGATCACTAAGGTTGTTGTCAGTGACGGCACTTGTCTCCAACAGCCTTGTCCCCTCCACTTTGCAGATTGTCCTAAAGGAGCATGAGCAACTTGCTATACAACTACATAGGTTCAGGGCACATTTCATAGGCTCCCTTCCTGCTGACACCATGGCTACCCTCACCTCCAGGCTGACCTCTATGGACTTTCTGGAGTTGTCTCTTTCTAAGAAATAATCTTCCTTACTAAGTAACGGTCAGCAAATCTCTCAGAAATACATCACAACCATTGGTTATTGGTAGCAAAACTAACAACATAAACGCCAGTACATTTGCTGAGAATGGCCACCTACCTAGCAGCCTGTCATATCCTGAATTATTCTACAAGGGGGATTTTTGTTTGAGAGCTGCTCTCCTGAAGAATTACGGTGATTTTGCTCCATATCTTGCATATGTATGAAACATCTTCCACACTCTAACTGTAAGTGAATACTGATTTCAAATTCAGCAGCTTTTCGGTCTCTGTTTCTCAGGCTCTCCCATAGATCAACCACACCTTGCCCTCCTGGTCACCCTTTGGATTCTTCCTCACCTGGAAAAATGATCATATCCCTTGAGCGCTAGCTCTCTGCCCTGGCCCTCTGCTAGGTTTGCTCACCCCTGGGAAGGAAAACAGCACAAAGATCGGAGGTTGCTGAAGCCAGGACTTCTAAAAGAAATAAAGCTCTTTGTTCTTGTTTTTTTTTTTGTTTTTTTTTTGTTTTTCCTCATTAGCCTAGTTGAGTGGCTCGGCAGTTTGACTTTCACCCTAGTAGCAGATGATCTATAATGGAAAGTTTTGTGTTCCGATTTTAATTTTGTTAGCCTCATCTTGGGTTAAGTGTTTGGATAAGCGTACTTCATATAATGGAACCCCTTCCTAAGCCTAACTTTGGGCCTAAGAATTTCTTACTCTTTTGTACTAACTGTATCAAAGCAGGACTCCTTTGCCTCACCTGACACCTCTACAATGACAAGCATGTCTTTCAGATGGGAAAGCAAAGATTGGAGAAGTACTTTCTCTTTGACACTGTTTTACACTTACAGGAAGTCAGAACAAGACTATAATTGTTCAACATTCCCCCAGACCTCAAACCTGAAGAGGATCATGGCAACTTTTGGTGCCACAGTGTGGGGGGAGAGGGGTTTGGGTGGTCTTTTTAGAAAAAAACAAACACTCGATTGAATTGGGAGTTGTTAGGTACAGATGCTGGCCTGGACTCCCAGCCAACTCACTCCATTTCTCTGAGCCTAGGTTTTCTCCCCTGGCATGTGAGGAACACACATCTTGTTTCTCAAAGGTTCTTTCCAGCAAAATATGCTGTGGTCTGTCAACTAGTAAAGCTTTCTTTTCCACCATCACAAAATAACATGTGTGTTTCTATTTAGTGGGTTCTGAGCAGCAGTTCTTGGTTCCCTTTGTCAAGCCTGCCCTCTGCCTCTCTCACCAATACCCCCTCCCTTTTGCTTCAATTCACCCCCAATGCCTGACTTGATGGCATGCTCTCTCTGTACTCTCCAGGTCAGAAAAGTGACTTTGTTCCAAATCAGAGGGTTTTTTAGTTTTGGTTTTGTTTTTTAATATGGGTTTGCAAAGGTTATCAGAAACAAATGGAGATGATGTGCCAGCTCTAATGTTTCCAAGAGTGGGCCAGCCTTTCTCACTGGGAGGCTGGGTAATCTGTTGTAGCCTGACATTCGGAAAGTCCTTGGGGATAGGATTTACTGTGCTCTGCTAGTTTGCAAACTAAGGAGACATGTGGTGCAGCCAGTGTTGCCTTTAGCTGGCGGGGCAGGGGGTAGAATTTAGAGGACATGCAGATTTCTGCTCAGAAATCCACCCCACCTCAGCAAGTCTTGCAGAAAAAAGTCACTGAAAACTATGCAAATTTGCAGAATGGGAGATTAAAAAAAAAAAAAAAAAGATGATACGGATTTTCTAGTTCTTCCCATCTCTTCTCTCCAACTACCTCCCTACATAGGTAGATGTCTTTCTGTTCCTATCTTATGGTAAATGGATCATTTTCTTGATCAATTTTTGTGGCTTTACAACTTTTCATATGATTATTATATTGGCCAGAGAATGTCAGACTTGAGTTTTGTAAAGTGTGGTTTAATGAGTCCCCTGCCCCAGAATCACATGATAAAAATGTAGTGTCCTATGCCTTCTCCCAGACCTGCTGAATTGGAATTCCTAGAAGTATGCATCATAATCTGCCTTGAACAGATTAGTATAATTCTTACGTATGTTGAAATTTAAGGAACTCTGCTTTAGGACCTCATCTTTATTCTTTGAACTACTTTTATTTCTTCTAGACGCTCTTGAACATTTCAGATAATCAGCAATGTAATGCATACACAATATTTAATTTGGTGGTCAAAGGAAGTGTCTGAAACAAATGGCAGAGCAGTCATTACAGTCCAGAGCAATCATTACATGTGTGCATACACATGCGTGCACGCACGCACAGACACACACACATACACACACACATACAATGTTCAGCCTCACAAACATCAGCTGCATTCTGTAGCACATTAAGGCTAAACAAGAAAAGAGGAGGGAGACCCAATTCACACAAGTATTTTCCCAGTTCCCTCACCCACCTAGCCTGGAAGATTCATATGGAGTGATGCAGCGCCACCTGCCGCCCCTTTTGTGCATCACAGGCACCTGTCTGATGGAGCCACATCTGCGGGCTTGTTCAGCTCTGGATTTCGTGCAGCCAGCCAGCTGAGGGCCTCCAGGGGCTGGAGTTCCACTTCTACAACTCAGTGCAGACTGCACCTTCTGCACATAGAAGAGATGCTTAAAAGATAGGCTTTTGGGCATCGGGAACTAGGTGTGTTAAACACATGAAAATTAAATGACTACAAGAGGACAAGGTGGGAATATGAAAAGTAAATTGCACATATTTGAATGAACGTGTAATGTACAAACATGCAAGAATGAATTCATACGAGCACACATATGCATCCTTCAGGGCCTACAAGCTGATATGCTGTATGTCCTGAATCCTTCTTAGATCTCATTGGCTTCCACTCTTTCCCTCCATTTCTCCCCTGCAGCCACTCGGGCTTTCTTGCTGTTCAAACTTCCTCTGCAAGATCTTTGCACTTGCTCTACCCTCATCCTGGAGCATCACAGATAGTATGTGGTGAACTCCTTCAGTTTATTCAGGTCACTGCTCAAATGTCATTCCTTCTGAGAGACAAAAATAGCACCTACCTCTGCTCTATGTGTTCAGTGCCTGCCTCCCTCCCTCAATAATACATAACCTCCACCAAGTACCAGGTGTCTCGAGCACCTAGAATGATGCCCAATATGTGGCAACACTCCAAAACTATTGAATGAATTAATGGCCACATTTCACTGAAAAGATCCCATTTTTGTTATTAACAGGACACACCGGCACCATTCTTATTTTGATGTTCTGACTTTAAAAAATATTAAATACTCATGTGAGAGAGACAAAAATGCTGAACCCCTTTAGAATGGAACTGGCATGTCTAAGAGAGCTTATCTAGTCCTTGCATTCTAGCGGAGTCATTCACTCAGATCAGGGGAGACAGGAAGGACATTCCAGAAGCCTGGTCACTGGAGCGGAGACTGAAGGCTGGCAGGTGCCCTCAGAGAGGTGTCTAAGCCAAGACTGCAGGGGAGAACAGGGCATAGCCTGCTGGAGCAGACTGAGTGGTAGGGAACAGCAAGAGCCATGTAAGAAATGAGAGCATGTGTAAAGTGCATTTGCTAATGCCTGGCATGTATTTAAGTGATCGGTAGATACTGACTCTCAATAGCTCTTTTGTGAAGATGGGAAAGATCTTTTTGAGCATTTGTCAGCTGGCCAGAGCACGGGCTTTAAAATCAAACTACTTTGGCTCACACCCTGGAATTGATGTTGCCTAGCTCCATGACCTTGGGAAAGTCATTTTCCTCTGTTTGTTCATCTCTCAATGGAAGCGATAGTAGTGCCTACTTCATGAGGTTGTTGTGAGGAGCAAATGAGAGTAAAAAGAGTCATTAGCAGAATATGTGGTACATGGTCATCACTCAGTAAATGCTGCCCTTTTATTAGTACATTGAACCATTCTGACTTATGAACAACTACTTCTTATCATATGGCTTATAAGCCAGAAAATCAATTCTGTTCTGTATGCTGGTCACCAAGCCTCTAATTCTATGAAGAGAGAGAAGCACAGACAAAAGCAGAAGTGAGAAATTGTATCATCTACCCAACAAACATTCGATTATCTGCTACATCTCAGGAACTCTTCTAATCTTTTTATATTCAAAGATAGGAGAAACTCTCACCCTCCAAAAGTTTGCAGCCTGTGTTCTCTGTCTCACAAATTTTAGATCAATATGTGTTGACTATCATCATCATTAGTAATGGATTTTAATTTTGAACAAGTGAGTAGTATGAGCAACTTGGCTTTCTAGAAACATCACTCTCACAACACTTTGTGGTGTGAAAAGGTACATGGTCATCGCCATATATCGTATGAATGTATAATGTGTCTACATGTAAGAATGGACTCAGACAAACACACATATGCATACTTCAGAGCCTACAAAACAACATGCTCTGTGTCATGAATCCCTCTTAGATCTCATTGGCTCCCTCTGTTTCCCTCCATCTCTCTACTGCAGTCACTTAGGCTCTCTTCTCTTCTGCAAACATGGAGAACCATCTCCCCCTCAAGATCTTTGCACTTGCTCTACTCTCACCCTGGAGTGTATGTTGTATTCCGGGTGCTGAGGACCCTGGCTGTTGGTGCAGCTTATCTATTACTTAGGAATGCAGGCACTGAACACGTAGCCAGAGGGTGGATTATTAGTGTGGGGGCAGGTTGGAGGCAGGAAGATCTGTGCGGGTCATGACAGCCCAGCTGTATGAGCCAGGGAAGGAGTGGAGATGGTGAGGGGAACTCTAACTGAGAGATATTTATGAAACCAAGTTATTGATTCCCAACATAGACTGGATGACAAGGAATAAGGAATCCACATTGACTTTCTGCTTCTGGGTTGGTCCCCTGGATAAATACTGGTTTCATTCATCAAGATATGGAGAATACAGAATGCGGGGAAAATAATGAATTTCTTATTCATTATTCAACATCTGGCTTCTAATTGAGTCCCGGGTTAAGTAGGTGGGTTTTGAGTTCTAAGCATGTCCTTTATAGTTGAAGGCCAGGGTGTGGATGATATTACTCAGCAGAATGCTGAGTATATGGTGGGGAAAAAAAGGCCAAAGTATATACCCTTGGAAACACATTAAGTGGTGATTAAATCAGATGGAAAGCTATCACTTTCTTCTCCACTTCATGGAATAATGATGGGATGACAGAATTTTGCCACATTCACCTCAAAGGAAACTGCATTTTGTCTGGTAGAAGTAGCTCAAAGGGAAGACCAGGGGTCAGAGGAAGAGCCCTACTGGTTTTCTGCGAAGAGGGTACTCATAGCTTTGTGGGTTTGGGCATCTGATTAAGGCTTCTGTCTAATGGGCCTCCATAGGTAGAATCATCCCCTTTTTTAGTTGAATACATCTGAGAACCACAGGGCTGTCTCTACTTGCTCACGCATATGTGGTCCTGGACAAGCTGAACTCAACACCAAACAGTTTGAACCAGGTAGTGTTACATATACTCATGCAGAGGGACACTCACACATGCTCTCATACATAAAAATACAGATTTACACGTATATAGATCTTTACAATGCCAACAAAGCCTCAAGAATAATTATATCTAAAATGGTTTGGGGATTTGTTGCTGTAACCACCACTACCCCCAGCTCCTGCTGTCACCACATCCAGTCCCTGAGGTTTTCATCATCCTGGTTTACCACCATGGGTTTGACCTCTTGGAAACACTTCACATCTTCCTTTGAATTCTCATATTATGCCTGTTCATTTGAGGGCTTCATAAATTACTTGTATTTTTTTTTAAGTTTCACACATAAATAACTCAAGTTTTAGGCCTAGAAGAAAGATCAGTAAATAGAAAATATTGAGACACAGTGGGTCACATTATATCTTTTTCCTAAGGTAGGGAAAGCCCCTTGGCACCTTCCTTAGGGAGTATGACTGATGTTTTGGAGACTTCCAGAATGAATATGTATTCTCTTCAGAGCAGGAAAGGTGAAGCAGAGAAAGCTCTTCCTTCTCTATGCCTCGTCTTTTCTCTTATGCCTCAGGTCCCCTGGAGCATGTACACCTGTCTCTTCCCTTTGTCACCACAAAGAACAAAGAGGTCAACGCGACGGCAGTGCTGTGGCCCAGCCAAGTGGGCACCCTCACTTACGTGTGGTGGTACGGAAACAACACTGAGGTAGGTCAGCCTTCCACACAGGATCCCTTGGCACCTCAGCTCAAACTGGCTGAGGAAATAAAGGAAGTGAAAGGGATTATGGAACTCAGGAGTCTAGGGGTAGTCCTAGCTTCGGGGACAGCAGGCTCATAGTGCTCCAGTAGTCTCACCCATGTGTTCCTTTTATCCCTCTGTCCCTGTCTCACCACGCCACCTCTACGCCTCATCTCTGCCTTCCTCTATGTTAGCCTGCTTCTCCAGTTGTACTTCCCTTTGCAAAGACCCTTAGCAGCAGCCTGAGCTTTATACTCTCACAACTGAGCAGAGAACATAAACTGGCTTTAACAGAAGTTTGAAAAGAAGTCCCAGAATGGAGCATTAGTGATCTCGCCTTCCCAGGGCTGGGTGGAAGAAGAGGTGTTGAAGTCAGCCTCCTTGGAACCACATGGACTAAGAAATGGTCCTCAAAAGGAAAAAAGCCAGTGGATACCAGATGGCCAAAAGCAACAAAGACTTATTTATTATAACCCAGCCCCCATGCGGCCCTCCTCATGTGGCCTCTCCTTTCTCTCAACTTCACCCTTTATGTTTTCCCAAAACATGCCCCATGAGCAAAAGTCAGCAGCAACTCTAAAACCAGCAGAGGCCTTAAATCTTATTTACTCTAAGTCCCTCATTGTGCAGATGATAAAGTCAGGCGGACAGACATGAAGTGGTTTCCTCCTGCCTCATTCGACTGCTTCATGTGGAGGCCAGATCCGAGGCCTTCCCATACCTATGGGGATTTTTCTTGCCCTCCTACCAGGCTGCAAGCTCTGTTTTGAATTTCCTCCATTCTCAGGGATTAGTTTGCTTCTATATATCAGTTCAGGCGGTCCAGTCTAAGGCCCCCACAAAGGGCACTTACAGGAGTTGCTCAGGATTAGAAGGCTTCATCTTTCTCCAGCAGAGCTGCTCTCTTGAACTTGGTGACTTTGCTCTTCAGATACAGTGCATCTTCTTCTGATACAAATCTTTTTCTACCCCAGAGCTGAATGTTGGCTTTAACTAGAGACATAATTTTGCACAGGCCCAGAGAGGAAATCTCGTCTGATGCCAAACCTGCTACATGCCTGGCAGAGGAAGGAAACTCTTCACCTCTACCGCTAATTTAACTCCTCTGAAAAGAAGGCTTTCTTATTATTTCTTCTGAAATTATGCATATAAATTTGGCCCACATTGGGCCCACTACCCACAGTGACAGAAGAGAAATCTAAGTTATTTGCCTAAAATCTAGTGCTAGGAGGTGAATGTACTAAGGAACTTTCTCCTGTGTCTCCTTTTTAAATGTTTTTTGACCTTACAGCAGAAAACCAAATTCTCAACAGATTATGTTGAGTAGACTTCTTATGTCTTGTGCTGGGCTTTAGTCTTCCCTCTGCCATATAGGGAGTTACATGAATTTGGATTTTAAAATTAATTAAGAAAAGAGAGGAAAGAAATGTTTATGGGGAATGAGTTGAGGGAGGTCAATAGGCTAATTATCTTTTCCTCCAGGACCCCGGTGTCCGATTATATTACAGGCACTACTCCAAATTGTTGTGGTTTTTCTTTTTTTTCCAGCCCTCAAACCACTATCCAATTAGTACTTGTTTCCATAGCAGCTACTTCCAGAAACTGCTGATAGGGCTTCTCAGAGGGGCCAAGCCACACAAGGCCACGCCAGTCCAACTAGAACACTCTTGGTGTGCATGGTTGCTGTGTTCCATTGTCATTTTCTATGAATAGTAAACCCTGGAGATGAACGACTGGAAGCCTATAGATTTTCTTAAATCTTAAGATTTGCTTAAATCTGGGTTAATATGAACTACCTGTTTTCATCTGATTTGAGTATTTCTTTGTATTAAGAGATCCACCTGTTATGAGTAGGTTACAATAGAAAGATCTATCCCACCAGTGAGCAAGACCTATCGATCTCACCAGCCCTGAATCAGGATGACACCAGAAGAAAGGTGTCACATTCACAAGGGATGGGCAGAGTCATGTGGGGTCATGGCTCTCATAGCTCCTTTCTGGCCTGGACTAGAGTTGATAGGGAAGCCCAGATGGAGCCAGTTGCACTGAGACACACCAGGAAAATCCTGTGCCAATTTAACTGGCTTGTTGGTGGCTCCGAGCTAGTGGCTGTCTCTTCTGGAACTGAACAGTTGTCCACTCACTCTGTATACCCTCACCTATTTTAGCCTCTGATCACCCTGGAAGGAAGCATATCATTCAAGTTTACTTCTGAAGGGATGAACACCATCACAGTGCAGGTGTCCGCTGGGAATGCCATCCTGCAAGACACAAAGACCATCGCAGTGTATGGTGAGTGCCCCTGTGCATCAAGCTCTGGTTGGTCCCAAGCTCAGATGAGGCGATGTGCTTGTAGGGTACCAGAAGCCACCAGGCCTCTACCCAGAGAATGGAGAATAGTAGTGAAGAAAGAGCCGAGTAAGGTCTGGTCTCGCCCTCTGGGAGAGATGTGGTTCACCAGCACAATTATGGTCACAAGACCCCGAGAGCATTTATAAGTTTGTTTTCTGCAAGTGGCTCAGGTGCACATAGGGCAACTCTACCCTCACTCACCTGAAGTGGGGCAGAATGAGTTTCATTACGGGTAAAGCTACTTAATTCCATTAGTATTTTTATGGTGTTCGAATAACTAAAACCCATTATAAAAAAAGAGTTGATATTGAGGCTTTTTTTTTAAGTTCAACTTTTAAGAGTCTTGATTATTAAGAAGAATCTATCAGTATCTAAATATTCTGAAAATCTCTTCCTCAAATATGTATCACACACACACACAAAAAAAAAAAAAAACAGACAAACAAACGCTGCTGGATTAAAAGCGATGGAGGCCCCAAATAAGCAGATGTCACATATTGCCAGAGATGGGATATGAGTTTGAAAGAACAACTACACAGAAATATTCTAATCAGTGGGGGAAGTTAAATATGGTCAGTATTGCACAAAATGAAAATTTACCAAAGTGGAAAGGTAGGATCCCCAGCTGAAAATGAGGGATTAAGAGCAGTTTATACAAACTGGATCTCATTTTGGTAATTTTTCCCTGCCCAGGAAGATAAGTTTGCACTGAGTATTATTAGTGGATAGTAAGAATGTAAAATTACGCATCATGGAAAAGTTAAAAACAACAACAACAACAACAAGAATTTAATATAAGATAAGAAAGATGAATGCTGTGCAGAGAAAGAGTAAAAGGAGGAATGAAAGGAGGAAGGATGAGACAGACACTGAGACAGAGACAAACTAGCCAGTGGTCCAAATAATCAGTTGCCCCAGTCGCAGAATCCTTGATGCAGGTTCTGCTTTTTCATTTCTCATTCTGCCAACGTGACCTTCAAATTCAAAATGTAATCTGTAAGCAACTTTGAACAAGTTTGAGGACAATGTTCCTCCCATGCCAAGTGTTACATTCACAATATCTCCTCCCTCCTACCTCCTCCTGCCCCATCCCCTACCCGGGCCCCCTACAAGAGGCTTGATAAGCCCAAACAGTAAGTGAAAGCAAACCAGGGCTCTGGTTTTCCTCACAAGGTCCCATCAGTGAGGAGACCTCTCAGCCAGGTGGCCAGAATGGAAGAGAGCTTTCGCTTCTCTTTCCTTCCCCATCTCCTTTCTGTGCTTTGGGAATGCACCGAATCCTCTCAGCAACCCTAGCATAGGGTAGGTGATGTTATTCCTCTCCTTACTTCGGTGGAGCAGGCAACTTGCCCCAGCTCGTATATGGTGGAGCTGGGCTCCTCACACGGTCCATCTAGACACAGGGCCCATGCTCTGAAATTGCCCCACTAACCAGCTCTCATGTCTGTTCCATGTGAGGCTCTCCTTCCTGGATATCCTGCGTGTCACTGACAGGCACTGACCCATGATTCCCAACACATGCCCTCTTGATTAAACCTATCAGTCACCTCATCAGAACCATGGAGAGAACGTTAAACCCAGAAGGTTTTGGGGCTTATCTGGCCCATCCCATCATTTCACAGATAGGAGATTGTAGCCCAGAAGTGGGAAATCGCTGCTTTCAAGTCATTCTGCTCTTCAGTGACAGCTCTGGTAATAACAGTGATGGTAAAGGTAGAAATTAACATTGACAAAGGCCTTATCAGCACCTGTTCTAAACACTTGATAAATAGGACGTCTTATTGAATCCTCTGAGCAGACTTATATGAGAAATATGCTATATTTACTCTTATTTTACAAATGAGAAAATATGAGATAACTGTAATAAACAAATAGAGCCTTAGAATTGAATCCAGAGGGAGTATTTCTAACCACCTTGCTCCCTCACCAGGCTTAGTTACTGCTCTTCCTAAAATGTCTTGAAAGGTGTCCTCCAAGAGTGGATCACTCTCCATCAGATGAGTTACCTTCACTAAAAAACAGTTTCTTCATCCAAAGCTTAAGCAAGGAAGTGGTCTTCCCTCCTAAAACCAAATTTCTGAGCAAACATCGTCAATTGTCTTCAGTCAGACGAAGTGTCAGAGTTTCCTATGTATTACTGGAAAATCTTAATGACATGTGTGACCTATTAAAGACAAATTATATTGCACAGAGTTAAACAGGCATGATTGATCTCAACTAAAACAAAAGTCAGGAATAGTTTTCTAAAGATTTTATTTATTTATTCATGATGCAGAGGGAGAGGCAGAGACATAGACAGAGGGAGAAGCAGGCTCCTGCAGGGAGCCTGATGCTGGACTCGATCCCTGGACCAGGATCACGCACTGAGCCAAAGGCAGACTCTCAACCACTGAGCCGCCCAGGATTCCCAAAGTCAGGAATATTTTTAAACCCTGGGATGACCTAGTGGAAAAGTACTGGAGGAATTTGGGGGTGAGGGGATTATCAATGTGATTAGATCATCTGTGTTTGTTAATTGGTGCTTATGGAAATTAGGCACCTACCCTCTAGGAGACAGAGGTCCTATCTCCTTCCCCTCCACTCCCCTTTCTAGCATACATGACAGTAGTATATCAATCTCACTCTTTTATTGAGATACAATCAACATATAACATTATATTAGTCTCAAGTGTACAACATAATGATTCAGTATTTGTAGATATTGTGAAATAATCACAAGTCTAGTGAACCTCCAGCACCGTATGTAGTTACAATTCTTTTATTCCTTATGATGATAAGTTTTAAGATCTACTCTCTTAACAATTTCAAATATACAATCCAGCCTTACTAATTATAGTCACCATGTGGTATATTATATCCCCATGACTTATTATTTTATATCCAGAGGTTTGTACCTTTTGATCCCTTCACCCATTTTCCCCGCCTTCCACCCCCACCTCTAGCAACCATCAGTCCTCTGTATCTGAGGTTTTGGTTTTGCTTTTGTTTTTAGATTCCACATGTAAGTGAGATCATACAGTATTTGTCTTTCTCTGTCTGATTTACTCCACTTTGCACAGTACCCTTAGGGTCCCTCCATGTTGTCACCCAATGGCAGGATTTCTTTTCATTATGGCTGAATAACATTCCACTCTACGTACATACCATACTTTCTTTATCCATTCATCTGTCTATGGATAATTAGGTCATTTCCATATATTGACTATTGTAAATAATGCTGAAATGAACATGGGGTGAAGATATCTTTTCAAGTTAGCATTTTTGTTTATTTTTAGTAAATACTCAGAAATGGAGTTCTTAAATCATAGGTAGTTCTATTTACAATTTTTTGAGGAACCTCCATACTAATTTTCTCTTTCTTAATGGTTACATTTCTTTTTTGTTGGGGAGGGGAGGATTTTATTTATTTGAGAGAGAGAAAGGAGAAGAGCACAGAGGCAGAGGGAGAGGGAGAAGCAGACTCCCTGCTGAGCAGAGAGCTCTACATGGGGCTGTGTCCCAAGACCCCAAGATCACGACTGGAGTGGAAGGCAGACACTTAACCCCCTGAGCCACCCAGGAGCCCTCAATGGTTACTTTTCAAAAAGGTGGCTCCCAGGTTCCTGAGAAAGATGTTCCTGGGTTGGAGAAGATGTGTATCTCAAAAGAACAGGGAAGGGATTTACAATTCCAGGTTTTCTAAAGTAAATGCTATAAGTAAAGGGAGGTAAGAGACCTGCAGTCAGGAAGAAACTTGGCTAAAATTTAGTTAAGCTGAGGGAAACAGTGAGGCCATCACAGTCAGGGGAAACATTGTCCACTCAAACCCACAAAACAGACTGTAGGAAAGAAAATCTAGTTTGTATCATTTTCTTTCATTTGCTTTATGGCAAAGTTTGCTCTTAAATACAAAAAAGAAAATGTAAATGTGAGAATTCATCTGCCTCAGCAGTTGCAAACACACACACAGAGTTGGCCCTTGAATAACACAGGTTTGAACTTTAAGGATCCGTTTATACATGGATTTTTTTTTGGTAAGTATATATATACATATATATAAAATATATATTTTAAAATATATATTATATATAAATATAATTATAATTATATTATATATAATTATAAATTATATATAAATATATTTTTGGTACAGTACTATAAATATATTTTCTCTTCCTTATGGTTTTCTTAATACCATTTTATTTTCTCTAGCTAAGTGTACTGTAAGAATACTGTATATGAAGCATAACATAGAAAATATGTGTTAATTGACTGTTTATGTTATCATTATGTCTCCTGGTCAACAGTATGGTATTGGTAGGTAAGCTTTTGGGGAGTCAAAAGTTCAATGTGGATTTTCAACTACTGGGGTGAGGGATGGCATCCTAACCCCCACATTGTTCAAGGCTCAACTCTTCAAGTGTGTGTGTATTTATGTATTTATTTATCACTGGTGTTTACCTTCTTCAGTGTTCCCACATGTATCCCCTGTTTGTTGAGTAAACACAGGTGTAGCACGCCTGTGTCCTGCTATTGAGCATGCTAAGTTATTACAGAGAGAGCTGCATGATTTTTCTCTCTCTTTTTTTTTATTAAGATAAACAGCTTCCCTTGTAGGTGAAGTTTCTATGATTTAGTAAGAGGTTCAGGGAAAGGAAAAGTGACATTGGTTTATATCTTTAAAGTGAAAAGTTAGGGCTGAGTGGGTGATACCTTTGTGCTCCCATTGACCATGCTGCTAAGTAAGATGCATTTAATTTTCTCCACCAGAACCAAAGCGGTGATATTCACACAGGTGACCAGTATCTCATAAAATAGTCAAGCTTCGAAAAATACACCTTTGAAATAGGCTAACTGCCATAATACGCTCCTTATAATTTAAGAGTCTTCAAAGCCTGTGTCTGATACGTCTTTAGCGTTGTTAGGAAATGCGCAAGTGGGCTATTATGTTTCCCGAATGTATAATCAGCACTGCCGATGTCACTGAGCCCCTACTGAAGCATGAGGACATGCTTAAAACAAGTAAGAAATGTTTGTTGAATAAGTAAATGCATAAATTACAGGGAGCCTCCAGTGTAATTTGTGTATTTATTTATTTAACAAACTTCTTAATTAAATGACTAGATCATGATCAAAAACCTACCATGTGCTGGGCACCATCTCACAGGGCCAGGAACATGGTCTTCCTGGCCTCATTGACCTTTTATTCCCGTGTGGGAGACAGACAGTAAAGACAAAATCAGTTAAGTGGCAAGAAGTATGAGGATAACAGATAGGGTCATATGATGAAGGGTGTCTGATGTAGCAGAAGGGAGGATAACTCAGGTTGCTAGTGGCAGAGGTTTCTCCCGGGAGAGACTAAATGATGATGAGGAGCTGACCGTGCTGTATCTGGGAAAGTGGAAATGCACTAACACGGGAAGGAACATGGCAGCGTGGAAGAGCATGGGGATGGATATGGTCCTGCTACACCCAGGAACCTCAAGATGTGAGGCAACAGAGAAAGTCTGGCCCAGCTTATGTGGACTAGGAAATCTGTGGTTAGGAAGCTAAGCTTTTATTCTGAAAGCCATGTGGAGCCACTAGCAGATTTTAGGGCAGTGACATGACCTGACTGGTACTGGGCTGGGCTCTGAAACCCGTCGCTCTGCTTGGGCCAAGGCCACGCCTCCCATGTGCTGATCCCAGCTAATGACCTGAATGCTACAGGGACATGAAAGCAGACTCATTCCTGATGCTCAGCGGACAACTCCGTCACTGATGTGGGCACAGAGACCCCCTGCCAGTCCTGCTGAGCCTTCCTGACACCACAGGGTGGTTACCAAGCCTTCCTCCCTGTCTTCCATAAGTGTCATGAACGCTTCTCCATGCTGCAGTGTTCCGTGCTCCTCAGGCTTCCCATATTCTCCTCATAGGACCTCTGCTTTGACAATCTCATCCTACTTTCAGGATGACCAAGACGGACTCAGAGGCTACAGAGACAATGAACAAATTCTTTGAGGGAAAGAGTTTAAAATTCCATGAAATAAAACTCCATACAAACAAAACATAGCAATAGAATGACTCTCATCATAATTATAATCATGTAATCATATAATAATAATGGTACAATCATACAAAGATAATGGGAGTATGTGCACAACACAGTGGTGCCATAACAAGGAACACTGCATCATGGCAGGAGAGAGTATGCCGTGGGGAAGTGCTCCGACTAGAGCTTGAATACTGTGTGCAGGGCAGGTAGGAAGGATGGGTGTTGTACAGGGGGACAGTGTGTGCAGAGGCCAGGGTCACAAACCTGCAGTGCTTTTGGGGGCATCCCGAGGCTCTTGTGTCCTGGAGAGCTCAGTCTAGAACTAGGACCAGTGGGGAAAGGCTACAGAGCGAGGCCTGGGCCAGACCTAGGGTTTTGGTTTAGAAAATGAGGGCTGGGACAGACAGCAGATTTCAAATGGGATATCCAGTTTGCCTTCTGGAAGGTTCCCTTTGGCGAGTGTGGAGGGAAAGGGCCCTTTAGTAAGGCTTTGCATAAAACATAACACACTTTTGAGAAAACCACTGGACTCTCCATAATCACCCTCCTATTGTATCCCCAGAGGAATTTCGATCTCTTCGCCTCTCCTTCTCTCCGAACTTGGACGACTACAACCCTGATATCCCTGAGTGGAGGAGGGACATCAGCCGAGTCATCAAAAAATCCCTGGTGGAGGTGAGTGCAGGCAGGTTCTTCTCTCGCCGGAGCACATCTTCTCTCTATCCTCCAAGAGCTGCATGGCGAGGGAGCCTTGTGCAAAGACTGCTGGGAAGGGCTGGAGCCCACGGGAGGTCTGGCTGACCACCTGCTGTCTGCATGGCCAATCCTGCATGGGCAGATGCAGCCGAGATGGTCTGGGTGGAGGGATGAAACTGGGATCAAACACATGGCCCTTGTGCCTTGTGAAACTTTCCTTCTGCCTTGAGAAGAAAGACAGTCATCTTCACAAGGCAGGGTTCTGGATCAGGTCACTGGCAAGTGTACAATCCGCCACTGTGCCCAGGACTTATGGGACGCAGCGTGAGTATACCTAGTGAGAGCAGCCCTGGGCTCCAGCCTGGCTGGCAGTGAGCACTCAGCCCTGGATGGTCAGTCATCTCTCTCTGTCCTAGTTGTTTCCAAGGCATGTCTCTCCTGCCACAGCCCCAAGAGGAAGGTATTATTGTCCTCATTTTGCAGGCAAAGCAACTGAGGTTCAAAGAGGTTAAATAACTTGCTTAGGTCTCACAGCCGATGAGTGATGAAGGTATTGAATTGAAGCGAAGGGTCTGAGTCCAGTGACTGGGACTGAACACATAAAACACGGTCCCCTGTGGTTTCTGGGAGAACACCAAGGCGGTGAAGCTTAGCCCTGTCTGAGTAAGTATCGCTGACAGTTTGAGAAAACACTTTCTTTTAGGCACATCACCCCCTGCATACTCCACTTTCATGAGTGAGCAGAGAAACAGAATATCTGCTCATGGAGCTGCTCAGATTTATTGTACAAACCCAGAAAATCAGAGATGAGCTCTCGCTCCCCAGGGCATCTTCTTAGCCTAACAGGAAAATCAATTTAGGGTGTTTTATACATTGTTTCCTGTACCCAGCACATGATGCCTTGTGACACAAAGCGCTGATGGGATAAAAGCATCCAGATAATGCCTGCTCAGAAAACAGATCTCTACATCCAGCCCGTTGGCAAAGGGCTAGCCTTCCCCATTCTCACGCCATGCTCTTTGTTGATATTTATTTCACACTTACAGTATTCCCAAACCTCTCCTCGGTGCTTTGCATTATTCAGCACATTTAATCACAGAAGTAGCTTATGATGCAGCTACTGTAATCATTCCCATTTTGCAGATGAGGAAGGTGAACATAGAGACTTCGGCTGTTCTGTCCACAACCACACTGTTAAAGGTCAAACCCGGGAGTCAGACTACCCTCCTGGTTTCCTAACCTCTCCAGTCTTTGGCCATCATTTGGTTTCTCACATGGAGAAACAGGGATACGTGGAACTGTGGGGTGGAGAAGGGCTGTCTTCATGCACCTCTGCGAAAGGCCACCTCACCTTTGTCTTCGTGCCTCAGCATCCACCACCTCCATGTGGCTAAACACCATGGCCCCCAAGGGACACAGCTACTAGACTACAGGCCCCCCAGAATAGATCCTTCTGCCCTTGGAGCTGTTTGTCCCTGGTGTGACAACCGGTTTCTCTCCTGTGCTGTCCAAGAGAGATGACTGACACCCCTTGATGAGTCCACAGTCCCCTTCCTTCCATCTGTAGTGTTCTAGGCATCCATGTCCCCACAGACCTCCCAGGTAGCTGCCCCATTCTCCCGGGTGACTTATCCACCAGGCATTAGCTCAGCAGTGACCCGTCTTCCAGGCTGCTTTCTCTTCACATTTATAGCCCAGGGAACACATCCCCTGGGCCTCTACCTTTCCACCAGCTGTCCAGAGGGCTAGAAATTACTGCTCATCAATATTTCCAGGCTGCTGTGTAGCATAATCAGATAAAGGCAGAATAAACAGTTGGGCTCAACAGCTCTCAGGACAGGGTATGATAGGGTAGAGCGAGTCGATTCCTTCCAGCTTCAAAGGCTCCCTGTTTACCCCATCTCAGGAGGCAGCTGACCCAGCCCCTAGTTCCTAGCGTCCCACCCTGTCTTTGAGATGAGTATTTACATTTGGCTACTTCCTTAAGCCCCGAGGTACCGTACTGTCAAGAGGACTCCAATAAACCCTACAAGAGGTACAACTTGGGGCCAATTTATTTGCAGTTTTCTTCCCTTTTACTGTGTGCCAGAATTGGATGTAAAATCAGTTCCCTTTACCTCATCCAATGGGGTTTTTCTGCTGATGTTTCACAATGAAATCTTTAATCAGATGTCATTGAGTCAACAGGTTTGCATATAATGAGGACAATTCAGATACAATCTCTGAGTTTAAAATCTGGAAGGGCCATAAAACAGAATGTTAGCTGTGTTAGGGGCTCCTGCATGCGAAGTGTCAGGCGAAGGGAGGCAGTAGAGCACTGCTTAAGAAGAAAGGCTTCGTGGTCAGACCAAAGTTCCGAACTCAGCATCACCACACGCTACCTGGATGGCCTTGAGCCACTGTTTAACCTTCTTGCATCTGCCATCTGTGCTGCGGCAGAAATAGAGATGCAGCACCCACATCCCTGAGGGAGAAATCAGTATCCTAGCCCCTGGTGGTGCCCTTGGCACAGGCTTCCGCTGCCTTGCCCCACGTCATGGCCCAATCCAGGAGGCTCACATCCTGCCTGCCTGCCTACCTGCACACCCCACCCCCAGACCCTGCTTGCACACCCCATCCCTGGTGTCTCTGTGCCACCCTCCTGCCCACTGAGTACTCCATGCATTCTCACCAGCTCTTCCTGTGGGACTTACATGAGCTTCTGTTTCTCCCTCAGGCCACAGGGGTCCCAGGCCAGCACATCTTGGTGGCAGTGCTCCCTGGCTTACCCACCGCCGCTGAGCTCTTTGTCTTACCCTATCAGGATCCGACTGGAGAAAACAAAAGGTCAGCTGAAGATCTGGAGCAGGTGAGTTCCCCCCCCCCCCCGGGTGACATTCAGCTTCCACAGCCAGCTGAGCCACACCCCCTGCTGGGGCCTCACCACCACCCGCAAAGCAACTCTGAGCCGCTCTGAAGGATCTGGCCTTGAGGGTGAGGGTGCTGGCTATTTGTGGAGTCCTCGACTCTGTTGTCCTCTGTTTCTCATCCACAGTCTGCTGATACTAACTACGGCTTCACCCCAAAACACGTGCAAGAGTGGTTATTGTAGGCAGTGGCTAACCTACTCAGAATATATCTCCACACTGTAGAGCATTTACAATGAATTCGATAAATCTATAGGACAAACTGTCCAAGATATTAACTGGGGAGAAAGGCAAGTTGCTGAATAATACATGGAAGTTGAACCCATTTATTCCTTCTCTCACTTCCATCACGAGTGTCATTAGAATCCAATGATGTGCTATGCATATTGTTTTTAAAAGGTACGACTTTTGTACAAATAATGAATCCTCTTTATTATCATCATGCTAAGATGACCTGATTTGTGTTTATAATAAATGAAGTAATATTGGCTCCAGACCACCTCTCCTGGCTGTGTAGGGTCCATCTTTTCTCCATGTCCACCACCTTCTGGAGTAGTAGACTATGCGTGTATGTGTGCATGTGTGTGCTCGTGTGTGTGTGTGTGTGTGCACATACACGCTTGTGTCTCCTGCCTCCTTCCATCTCTGTTTCCCCCTCTCCTCCTTCAAAGGAGTCTTTAATCTGTATAGTGAGGATGATTATTATATCCTTCCTCTTTCTCTTCTTCCTCTTCCCATTCTCCTTCCCCTTCCTCTTCATCATCCATTCAGTTAAAATCATCAGTCCTGGTCTGGTTACCCTGTTAGAAACAGCATGATTTTGGTTTCTCAGTGCTTTCTGGCAGAAAGATTAAAAATAAGATTCTTCTCAGACACTGAATAAATACTGGCTTTTTCCCCTCCAGTATGTGGAGTTTTTCAATTTGCTTAGAATGAGCCCATAATCTAGTCCCATGATCGCCAGTATTTATTCAAGGATGGCTTGAGATCCTCCCATGAAAACCTTATTAACAACAACCCCAAATTACAGCATGGCCCACCTCCCAGCACACACCCTCCTTTCAACTGAGCTTTCTCACTTGGCAGAAGGTTCACCCCTGTAATTTTCTCCACATGCAAGCAATGAAGAACAAAGCTGCCCTGGAAAGCCCTGTTGAACTCCGTTTCCTAGTGAACTGCAATTGAAGAACCAGCAGCAGGTAGTTCCTCGGATTTGCATGTGACTCTGCTCAGCTCTGGCACTCAATGGGTTGTTTTCCACAAATTATTATCTGCACCTGCAACTTTATGGGAGAATGAGATGGATTGCCTCTTATCCCAGCACTGCTGAGAAACTGGAGGGGAGGTGGATGAGTATCCAAGACCTTCAGATTTGAGCGTGTACAATTGTTGCTCCTCTAGAAATCATATGGATCTTCCATGAATTCAAAATTATCATCTTTTCAAGGATGGAAGAGAGTCCGGACTTAGAGCCAGCCAATATCTGAGGCATCACATCATCTGTGCATCTCTGTTTCTCACACTTTCTATTAGAAGTATCATATTTCCTAGGTTTTTTTTTTCCCCCTTGAGACATGTGGAAAGAAGAAGGGTGTGTCCTATAAAGACATTCTGAGAGTTGAGTGACAGTCCCTGAGGCAGCCTGATGTCATTGATGAACCACTGAGTCAGAGCTCTGAAGGCAGCTGGCTTGTTTGAAGGCTATATGACTTAGCACTTGGCACACATTATTGGAGACCAGCCATTTTATTAGAAAGAAGACGGGAGTGGGGTGCCTGGGTGAGTCAGACAGTTAAGCGTCTGCCTTCAGCTCAGGTCATAATCTCAGGGTCCTGGGATCAACTCCCACATCAGGCTTCACACTCAGTGGGGAGTCTGCTTCTCCTCCCTCTGCTCCTCCTCCCAGTAATTCCTCCCCCCAAATAAATAAAACCCTTCAAAAAAAGGAACACGGTAGTGGAGAAATATAAACCAAGTTTCTAGTTTCACCTTTGATATCCACTGTATCTATTATTTATAGATAAAGTAATTTAGGACTAGGAAAGTCATATAAGTTCACCAAATTGACACAATCTATAGTTCCCATTTACTAGGGTGTTTGAGAGAATATTAAAGAAATGATATGCAAAGTACTTGGCTCCTTATATATGTTCAGTAAGTGGTGAATAAATTCTGGAGATATGTGTGGCCATCTCATGATAGGAACAGAATATCTGGAAATGCAAAAGGGAAGGTGAAGTTTGTGAAAGGGACTATTTGGTAGAGTTAAGGGCACATACTGGAAGAGAGAGGCTGGCAGGAGATGACCGCATGAAATGATACAAAATCGAGAAGAGAACAAGGACAGCAAGAAACAGAAGGAGTGTGCCTGAGTGACCACACAGGAGCCAGGGGGACCCTTCTGACCTTTCACGAGGATTTGCAGCATGAAGGAAAGCAAGCTACCAGGCTAGCATTGCACATCTGTTTAAGGAAATCCCAAGTCCATCAGTCTTATATAGGACTCTACCCAAACAAATACAGAACCCGGCACATAAGAAATGAGTGTCCTTGTTGTGGCGAATATTCTCACCCTGATAAAAAACGTGCAATAACAAAGTTGACATATAAAAGTGACCCATGTGTGGAGATGCTATGAAACAGCGGCTGCCATTGGGAACCTGCAGTTTTCAACTGAAGGGGGTTCTTTGACTCTTCTCTCTGACTCAGCACCTTTAAAGTAAAGGAATTCAGGCCCAGACATGGAGAAGTGATTACCTGAGGTGACACGGCTCTTCCAGAGAATGATACACTAGCTGTGTTTCTGCAAGGAACTCAAGCCCGTGGCCGCCCCACTCCTCCCTGCTGCAGATGTGGACTGGATGCCACTTTGCTTCCATGGGCCTGAAAATACCAAGGCTGTTGTACCAGGAAGCAAAGGACAAATGCTTTGGCTTTGTTAGTTTGTTTTGTTTTTTTAAAGATTTTATTTATTCATTCATAGAGACACAGCAGAGAGAGAGAGAGAGGCAGAGACACAGGCAGAGGGAGAAGCAGGCTCCATGCAAGGAGCCTGACGTGGGACTCGATCCAGGGTCTCCAGGATCACGCCCTGGGCTGCAGGTGGCGCTAAACCTCTGCGCCACCGGGGCTGCCCGGACAAATGCTTTGTTATGAGTTTTTATATCTTTTTCTTAAAGTTCTGATGCAATTGATAGGCAATTCAAACCAGTTTAAGCAAAAACAGTGAAGCTGTGAGCGAACCTAATAGGGGAGTCCAGGGATACAGTTCAAGCATGGATTCATTCAGGGAATTCAGAGCCACTCAAAAATACCACCAAATACCCCCTTCTCTCCCTCTTTACCCATCTCTTTTCTTTATTACCACATGAAGGATATGCCTGAGGATGAAGCCAGGGTGCAGGAGGGCAAGGATGGCCACATAGGGCCCCGGGCTTTGCCTAATCCACCTCCAGCCCCGTCCGAAAAGCAGTGCCTCTCCCCTGAGAGCACCCCAAGAGCTCCGGGTGGACGGTTCTCACTGGCCCAGCCTGGGTGAAGTGGGCATCCCTTACCCTGTCCTGTAGTCAGAGGGATGGAGGGCTGGCTCCAACCACTCAGATGTTTTATATGCTGCCTGGGTCAGGGGGTTCAGGAAGCCTCTTCAGAATTAAGGGAATGGAGAAGACATGGTTCCTCCAGAGAATGGAGAAGGATATGGCTCCTCAAAGAGATACGGGGAGAGAGAGAGAGGTAACAGACAGCAGGCAGACAAAAGCAGCTGCCTCCTTCTGTAATAAATTCCACAGAAATTTTAAATGAATGCAAAGCAGAACCAAACAACAGAAGGAAATGTTCCCCGCAGCCCCCTCGAGGTCTGCACTCCAAATCCCAGATGGAATTTGGGAAGGGCTGACCTTATCCCTCTCTTAATGCTCTGGCTCCTTTCTTGTAAGCTTTCCACACAGAACCCCCAGCAGAGAAAGAAGAGGGACCCCAGCCAGATGGGCCTGGAAGCCTGCAAGGATGAGGCCTCTGCAAAGGGCTCTGGTCTCTCCTCCCTTTAGCTTCCCCAGGGGAGAAGCCATGCTGGCTCAGATCAAGCTATCTTGTCTGTGAAATAAATTGAAAATTCCTCACAGTGAGAGGTACTTGACCTTGTTATCAGGATAACGTGGGCAGGGTTAATCAAGTGACCTCTATCTGGAAGGGTTCCACCAGTCTTTATTTCAGATCTCTGGGGAGTGAGAAAAGGCTCACTTGCCCTTAGCTGACCTCATCAGGGTTAGTGCATCCTGCTGCCCCAGCTGCTCAGGTATGGAGCAACCTCCCCCTCCCCCAGGCCTGTACTGCTGTGCATCTCTCTGAGTCCTCAGAGGTGACCAGATTTGTATCAGGCTCTCCTGGAGGGAGGAAAGACCATCATGTTCTGTCAAGATTATTTGCGATACTGTGGTGGAGAGATATGGAGCCTGCATGTTGTCTTGCAGAATCCTTAAAGGGCATGAAAACGTTTAAAAGAAACAAAAAGATTATGAAAAATTGTCAACCACTAACATTGAATTTCCTCCTTGGCTCTTTCTGTTACCATATGCTTTGACCGATGGACAACCAAAAGCCAGAGAAAAGGAAAGGTGCCTATGAAAATGGAACAGTCTAATTGACATTTTAAGGAATTAAAGATTCATTATGAACTATAATTGATAATCTCAGACTATTACCACATAATCTGTCCTGTTCATATTTTTTTAACATGGGAAATTGAATCATAGAAATACTCTGGAGTTAATGAGGAAGATCATTAAAGCAGGAAACTATCATTGAAAGTAGATTTGGTGGGGATCTCGGGGTGGCTCAGCAGTTTAGCACCTGCCTTCAGCCCAGGGCATGATCCTGGAGTCACAGGATCGAGCCCCACATCAGGCTCCCTGCATGGAGCCTTCTTCTCCCTCTGCCTGTGTCTCTGCCTCTCTCTCTCTCTCTCTCTCTCTCTCTCTCTCTTTCTCTCTGTCTCATGAATAAATTAATAAAAATCTTAAAAAAAAAAAAAAGAAAGAGAGTAGATTAGGTTAAGAGTTGGACTGGAAGGAATATGGCAAAGGGAGACAGAAATTTAGAGCAGGTGATGGGGAATACAGGAAATATGTATAGCCAATGTGTTTCTTCAGTATATCACCCAGGCAACTTCTTAGTCACTTTAATCAAGATGATCCTTTTGTGCTAAGAACGAAGGGATCTGGGTAAGCTAGTGTTAACTAGAATTAGTGTTTGTTCCGTTGGCTGCCTCCCCCCTATGATTTAATCCAAAAATTAGGCTGTATGATTGATTTGGGAAAGTTCTTTCTTTGTTGAATCCAAAAGGAAGATTCTTCAACTGCTATTTCAAAGGAGCTTAATAATGTAACAGGATCAGGAATGATCCAGTGGGTCAGCTCCAAGGTCATTACAGGCAAGTATCTCTGAACGTGGCACCAGAATGCTGTTTATATTCAGCAAGGTTTGCATCCTCCTGCCCACCTCAGAGATAAATGTTAGTATTTTGGCCCAGTATAGCTCTATCATTGATAAACCTGCCAAAGACCATTTGCACCTAGAGTTTCACCTTGTACCATTTATTTGGCTCATATGTTCCATAAATTTACCAACTGCTCTGTTCTTAAACTTCTCTTTTTTCAGGTTTCAGTGTTTGACACTTCATTCGTATAATCTGAAAGTGTGTTTTCTCCTATTGGTTTCATTAAACATTGTTAAGGTGTCAGATGTGTTCTTTGTGTGGCATCCATCACTGCTGTTGGCTATTTCCGCTCATTTCCTTCTGGATACGTGGTAGGGTGGCACCAGGCACCTCTTCTGTGGCAGAACCATGTGACCAATTCTGGCTTTAACACTGTTACCCCAGCCTAACCTAGCCTGTTCTGATTGCCATACCTAAATTTTATACATTGTGAAGAGGATACAGAAGGGAATTGGTGTCTTTCCTGTAGCAGATCCCTCCTGCTACGCCCTGCGGATAGTGGCTTTCCAAGTGTTTTTATTGCATCCCACTGCATTTTTAACCGGTACTTTAATTGCAGTAGGAACTGGTTGTACTGGACTCCCAGGCAGAGTCTACCACTAGGCGGATACCAAGAATAACATGTTTCTTTGGTCATGATTATTTAGCTGAAGGAGAGTAGAAAATGGACTCTGTTGGTGAGCAGCAGGAGAGGGATCACAGCACAAAGGATACGTAAAATTTGCTAAGACAACACACTTTCCCTGGATGGAGAGAGAAAAATAAATATATTGAACTGGCTTTAGCAGTTCAATGTCCCAGCAGTCACACATTATGCCACTTAGTTTCTATCATGCAAGGTTTTGTTCTTCCTACTTAGGCTGCTGCCACCTGTCTGACAGATTCCAGTTTATTCCACTTCTTTCATAGCCAAAGTCTCTCCCAGATGTTGCAAATTATATTGACTGGTGAACAGAATGTGGCAGTCCAGAGGATAGGGTTGGCAATTGCCTGGTCACGGAGCTCATACTGGTCAGCTGACATGGGACTGGTGTTACAAGTTGTGCATCTCACAGATGAATAAGAGATGGCAGCATAATTAATGAAATGCTGCAGGTTTTTTTCTGTTTTTTTTTTTTTTTTTTTTTTTTTTAATATCCTAAGCCTGGTCAGCCAGTCCTCTTCCCCATATCTTTTGCTCTCTCTTTTTTGCCAGCTGGTTCAAGGAAAATATTTCTAATGAAAATGCCCCAGGATTAGGACTCAAACATAACTGAAGTCTGGTGTCAACTCTTCAAATATTAACTGAGTAAACTTAGGTATGTCCTGTAAGCTCCATGGGCCTTTACGTAGAGATACCAGCCCTAATACCTAAGACATGCTATGTTAGAAAGACAGAAATGTGCAACTTTGCAAATATAACGTGTTCAATATATATGTATGATATATGTGGCATATGTAAGATTTATGTATATTATATATAAAATATATAACAGTGCATGATCTAATGGAAAAATACAGAATAAACAATTCTGAAAAAAAAAACAATTCTGCAAGTGGCTTGAAAAACATTTAAAATTATGAAAATCTGTCAACAGTTTCCTACTTGTTTATTTGAGTAGAGAATTACATGGTTCTAATTGAGATTATTGTATGCAATGTACATTTCATTTAGTTTTGTTTTTGTGCATAATTTCTTTCCCACAGATATGGGTTCTTTACTGCATGTCCTTTGATGCAAGTTAAATACATGAAACATACCAGATTATTTTGGCATAGCCTGCTTAATTTTGTAAATGATACAGATAAATCCATTGAACCAATACTATAAACCAAAACAAATCCAAGAAGTTAATTATTTTTCACAAGGAACTCTCATGGAGATTATAAATTAGAAATACGCTGTTCTGACGAACCCTACTTTCTGATTTAGTTATTTGTACCTCTCACTTGAGGAAAAAACATCCTCAGGAATAAGAAATAAATATCTCTTCAACTAGTTGAGAGATCTTTCTCTTGCGAATACATATTTCCCTTTTGGCCACATGATGGACTCAGCGAAACAGAGCAATTCTTTAATTACTTCTGACAAATCTTTCCCATTTGAATAAAAATATTTTTCTGCAAATATAAATGTACATATGTATACACACATATATATTTGTATGTAAACGTGTATATTTCACACACACATATATACACACACGCATTTCTGGCTGTGTGTCTGTGTGTATCTGTTTCGTTAGCCAAAACCTTTCTGATTAATCTCTACCAAACATCCTGTCGGATTCCTGTAAAGACCTTACCAATTGAATTATAAGATAGAATAAGAACCTATATATTGCAATACTTTAGAGATCACAAAGGAAAAACTTTCTACACAGTCTGTGCTAGAAATCTGTCCCTATAAAGCTGGAGCATTCCAGAAGATTCCAAGGGCCCAGGAAAAAAGAGTAATACAGAGCCAAACATATAGGATAAAGTTGTTTTCAACATAATTGTATCACAACCTTGTTTTTCTGCATGGTTTGCCAAATGAAAGCATTTGAGATGCTGAGCTTGCACTGGATCCCAGGTGCTCAACCACGGGTCACCGCCAGTCATCCCAAGTTCCTGTTGTTAAGCAAAGAAGTTCATCTGTAGGGCAGTTCAGTTCCATTACCCATCGGAGGGTCTGCCAGCGACTCTCTGCATCCAAACCAAGCCGTCAGGCTCTGCTTAATTGATAAAAGGATCAATCAAAGGTGTTGTTTTGGCAACTCACTGCGCTAAATGAATCTCAACAAATTTTTATAAAAGGGGAAAAAATGGTGCTCAGAAAGCATCTAATTAGACCTCAATAGCATGTTAAATAAAATATTAAAAATAAAGAGTCTAGAAAAATAATAGGAGTGTAGTTTTCCCTAATAGTTTTTCAGAAATTGTTCAGAAGGCTAAGAAAATTGAGCTGGATTTTCTACTTTAGACAAGTGAACAGAACAGAGTTTTACCTTTTGTATAAAACCTGTCCTTATGCTGTTATTACCCAAACATGGTTCTTTGCCCTTTGTTGGGGTTAAATATTTCATGGCCCGGGATGCCAGAGGTCTGCCCAGTACACATGTGTCAGCGGAGAGCAGCTCAGCTAATGTCCATAAGCAGGAAACCAGGATCAGCCCATGCATTACTTAGACTGTGCTTACAGTTTTTTCCAACTGTATAATTTATTATTTTAGTGGAACTATATTTACCGTTCAATAAATATTCATAAAGTATCTATTCTGTGAAAGCCACAGGGTACAGTTAGGGGAAGGGGAAGCAAGTATAGAAAGGAATAAGACGGAGTCTGCTCTCAAAAAGTAAAATAAATGCATACAAACCTTACCAGAATGTATAAATTGTACATAATTACTTCTTTTAAGTGTCCATGTATAACAAATGCTCTTTCAAAAAACTGGGTGAGGGCAGCCCTGGTGGCTTAGCGGTTTAGTGCCTCCTTCAGCCCAGGGTGTGATCCTGGAGACCTGGGATCGAGTCCCACGTCGGGCTCCCAGCATGGAGCCTGCTTCTCTCTCTCTCTCTGAATCTCTAATAAATGAAAAATATTAAAAAAAGAAAAAAAAAACAACTGGGTGACTTCTGTAGGATAACACAGGATGACTTTTTAAGAGCAGAAATGTCGGGATCCCTGGGTGGCGCAGCGGTTTGGCGCCTGCCTTTGGCCCAGGGCGCGATCCTAGAGACCCGGGATCGAATCCCACGTCGGGCTCCTGGTGCATGGAGCCTGCTTCTCCCTCTGCCTGTGTCTCTGCCTCTCTCTCTCTCTCTATCATAAATAAATAAATTTAAAAAAAAAAAAAAGATTTAAAAAGAGCAGAAATGTTTGTGTTTACTGTTTGTCCCATTTTGTAACAATGAGGATGTAAACTCAGATGATGGTTTAAAAATCATTATGCATGCATATTCTGGAATAAAACTCAAAATCAGAGAAGCCTGGGTGGCTCAGTGGTTGAGCATCTGCCTTCAGTTCAGTGTGATCCTGGGACAGAATCCCACATCGGGTTCCCCATGGGAAATCTGCTTCTCCCTCTGCCCATGTCTCTGCCTCTCTGTGTTTCTTATGAATGAATGAATGAATAAATGAATGAATGAATAAATAAATAAATAAATAAATAAATAAATAAATATCTTTTTAAAAATAAAAATAAAAACTCAAAATCATACAAGACTCATTTATATAATTCACAGGTATAATATTAGAATGCCTTGGTAACTACAGTCAATATTTCTCAGCATTTTTGTTTATACTTGATATGGCAATTTTGGTGGCACTCATTGTAACACTTCTTCTTTCAGATATCAGAACTGCTGATCCACAAGCTCAACCAAAACTCGGTGCACTTTGAGCTGAAGCCTGGGGTCCAAATCCTTGTCCACGCAGCCCACTTAACAGCAGGTCAGTTTCCAGGTCCCTGGCTTCTGGCTGGTGGCTGTATCCCAGTCTCCCTTTTCAGCATAGATGAAATGATGGCACCGCTCATGACAAATAAGAGCACCAGTCTTTGGAGGTTCCCTTGCTTGGCATTTTTGCCCTAATAGGGACTCGTAAGACAGCAGAATAAAGTGACTTTCTTACCTAGTCGCTGGCAAAAACTGTCAGGGAATCAACTAGATACTTAATCCTGAAATGATGGCATGCTGCATCTCAACAGAAGTCTGAAAAATAAAGTTAATCCTACAAATAATTTTTTTCCGATCTTGCTGCACAACCTTATTTTCAGTTGTTTACATTATGAAGAATTTTCTTTCTTTAAGTTTTGGGATAATGAGTAGGATTAAGTAGGACTCACGAGTTGCACAGGGCCCTAACCAAGATTAATCCTGAATGAGCCATGCATGATCTTAGTAGCATTAAGCTTCTGTCTCTTCACCTGGAAAAGGTTGGTGTGGGGGAGATCCTCCTGCTAAGGCTCTATAGAAATCTCCATGATAATTCAGGTAATTGCAAGTGTATAGAAATAGATGTTATTGTATTATGTTAATAATAAATTAACAATATTTATTGAGTACTTATTTTTCAGAGTACAGTGCTGGTGCTGCATGGAATACAAAGGCCAATAGGAAATAGTCTTTATCCTCAAAAAACATATAATCTGATTGTGGTGTGGTATAGTTTGATGGTAATGGTCATGGTGGTGTGGTGTGGTGCAGAAAGTGGGCAATGGCAGGGTATCTTGATGAGCAAAATGAATAAATGCTTATATAGAGAGGCAATATACTTAAGCACTTAGATTCTACAATTTTGCAGCCAGATCATTGGTCTTATCTCCCTCACTTACTTGCCATGTAGATCTTAAGAAGAGACCTAACTTCTTGGAGGCTTAGAAATGGCATGAGCACCTATGTCCATGAGATTGCATGAGGATGAAGTTAATTCAGGTAATGCACTCAGAGTAGTGCTTGGCACATAGTAAGCTATTATTTTCCTTCTTTTTTTATTATTAACAATCAAGGTTGTATAGGAAATTTAAAGCAGAAAGAAAGTGTGTGTAGTCAGAATGATACAGCAAAGCTTCACGGAGAAGGTGGCTTTTGGGAAAGGATGGAAAGGATTGACCTCAGGAGACCATTTCAGGCACCAAAACCCCAAGGAAGGAGTATGAAAGTCTCCAGGGCTTTGGGGATGCTGGATAAGTGGAAATAGCAGCAGTTCCCACCTCCATTCTTTGGATTTCTAGAGATTTCTGGAGATTCTCCATTCTTTGTATTTCTGGAGTGCCTACGCCTAGAAGAAAGCCAAGCAGGTTAGCTGCTGACCTCTTTTCTGTTTGGATCATATCTTTTTTGTTTGTTTGTTTATTAGGGTTTCATGAAATACTTTGTTTAGAAAAAAATCCCACTGCCTTAAAAACATAAAACAAATATTTAAAAGTCACTGTTGTGAGCATGGAATATGGAAGGGGAGTATGGACTATGCCAGGCTGCAGTTTGTACTTACTTTGGTGTGCTCTGGGAAGCTGTCAAGATGTTTGAATGAGGTGTGACCAATTCAGAGTATCCCTTGAGAAGGATGACTCTTAAGAGCTAGAAAAATTGAGGAGGACCGATTTTGTATTCTCCAGCCTGCCATCCTAATTCATCCAGTGAACAGGCATTTACTGAGCACCTGCTAACTCTGAACCAAGCAATGTCTTCAGCATAGGATACTCTGTGCCTTCATAAAGCTTCCATCACTGGGGAAAGGAAGCCATGCAGGGAACAAATTAACAAATGCTACTTTTTGAATGGTATTCCTGATGAAAATGCCATGAAGAAAATGAGAAAGTGTTACACCAGTCAGAATGGCTAAAATTAACAAGACAGGAAACCACAAATGTTGGAGAGGATGTGGAGAAAGGGGAACCCTCTTGCACTGTTGGCGGGAATGCAAGCTGGTACAGCCACTCTGGAAAAACAGTGTGGAGGTTCCCCAAGAAGTTAAAAATAAAGCTACTCTATGATCCAGCAATTGTACTACTGGGCATTTACCCCAAAGATACTGATATAGTAAAACGATGGGTCACCTGCACTCCAGTGTTCATAGCAGCATTGCCCACAACAGCTAAACTGTGGAAGGAGCCACAATGTCCTTCAACAGATGAATGGATAAAGAAGATGTGGCTTATATATACAGTAGAATATTACTCAGCCATCAGAAAGGACGAATACCTACCATTTACATCTACATAGATGGAACTGGAGGGTATTATGCTGAGTGAAATAAGTCAGTCAGAGTAAGACAATTATCATATGGTTTCACTCACATGTGGATTATAAGAAATAATGAAAGGGACCATAAGGGAAGGGGATAAAACTGAGTGGGGAAGAATTAGAGAGGAAGACAAACCATAAGAGACTCTTAACTCTGGAACACAAACTAAGGTTGCTGAAGGGGAAGTGGATGGGAGGATGGGGAAATGGGTGACAGGCATTAAGGAGGGCACATGATAAGATAAGCACTGGGTATTATATGTTGGCAAATTGGATTTAAATTTAAAAAATTTAAAAGAAGAAAATGAGGTGTGAGAACATAGAAAACAATTTAGCAAAACCTAGGACAGCACCCTTTCAACCTAAGGCATGAAAGAAAGCTGCCAATTTTTCTCAAGGCATTTGAAAATATAGATTAGCTGTTTCTACCAAAAGGTTGACCCGTGGTCTTTGGTGAATGATGGTGACACATGGCAATGACATATAGCTGGCTATCCCAGGAAGCAGAGTTCAAAAACATCAGTGGTAGTCATCCTGATAATCAAGCCACTGACACATTTTTCAAATGAATGCAAAGTAACAACTTGAGGTTTTTTTTAACTATTAAATAGACTTACTGATTAATCTAATTAGACAGCCCAGCCTGTTTAGGTAGCAGACTGAATCTATCATCCTCTCCTATAATAGCTAGAGCTACTTGCTCCCTTTCAGTTTAGAGGTAAAAAACAACTGAGCCTGATATTCCATAATGAATTCTGGATTTGAAGGGATGTGGCCAACTAGACCATTACTTGTAGTACAAAATTTGCTTTACAGCTAGTCAGTTTCTAAATGAATGCTATCTTCAGACAACATATTTTGCTGTGGAGTAACTTGATTTTATTAGAAAGAAGTCCCCTACTGTTTACCAGGGGCCTCTGGTGGAAAGGGGACCATCTTAGGTTAAATTAGGCAGAGAACCAAGCTCACCCCTATAGCTCTGAAGGCCACCTGCATTTCACACATTTGTTTCCTGCCATACTTCTCTTCCATCAGTTATTTTATGTGCTTGATTTTTATTTAACTGGCTTTCACATCACACACTATAGATGGTTCTGAATATCTTGCTGAATTTGAAACCTTATTTCAGATGTTACTTAAGGAAGCTTCCCTATAATGGCCATTGGTAGAGCTGAGATCAGGCTGAAAAATAGGGATCAAAAAAGTGGTAATTAGCTGAAGCTGATTTAGCCAGGGCCTGGCCAGGGAAACCAACACAGCAAAGGCACACAAAGGCATCCGTGTGGAATTCATAGTTTCATGTGGGAAAGAAAGTCCATTCCCGATAACCATGAAGGCTTAATTCCACCAATGTAAGTTCCAGATAGCAAAGTTGGAAAGATCTGGAAAACTTTTCCAATTAATGTTCATGGTTCATTCCATCACTGGGAACTTGGGAAGCAGTACTCTGATCTCTGGGAAGAAGAGGGTGGCCAAAGGAAGCTATGTTACTGGGAGCTCATGTAAACACCCTAAGATTTGAAGACACCTGACAACAGAGATCAGTATGATGCAGGATTACCAAGAGACTAAAATAAAAATGCTGTTGAGGCCAAACCCCAGTGTTAGACTAGGCAATTGAGAGAAAGTGAGAAAAGTCCTTGACTTCCAACCATTATGGGTTGTTCAGGGTTCTTCTCTATTGGAATAGTTAGTAGGACCTTTTGGCAGGATAATTCCAAACCTCAATAACTGGCCTTATTGATCTTCCTATGATGACTGGCTCAGTGCCTGCAGTAGATGTAGCCTTATATGTGAATAATCAGCTCCAGTTTGAAGAATATGGGGAGAAGACATCAAAGGCGGACAGAATAATGGAATTGGAAACTTTGGCTGCGTTGAGTGTTGCCAGGTTCCTCAAAAGAATGGTAGAATTGGCCCCACACACAGGTGCAGCATCACTCTCAGGCTGACTTTCACCACAAAAGACAAGGTTTATGTGAAGACGGGCCCTCCTCAATACCCCTGGTGAGGAAGTGAAACATGTGAGGGATCAGTCTCCCACTGGAGAGTCCCCCCTACATTAGCCCTGGCCCATCTGGATTGTCGTAAACTATTTGAACAGAGTAGTAGATTATGTCTACTAAGACTGTGGAGGGTATTCTCCTTTTATACCTAGAAAAAGGGGGACACAGAGGTGGGATACCAGTGGATAGAGACACTTGCCTCAATTTCTGTAAGTGAAAATCAGCACACTCTTATTTGGATGGCTAGGAAGAGGAGGAGGAAGATACCAGGGGGAAAGAGGACACAGTGAGGAAGAGTATATGATGCCAAACTTCTACCTCACTCCCTTTCCCTTCTTTTCATCCCTCCTGCAGGCAGGAGGACATAAAATTGGGGGGAAAAAAGAGAGAGAGAGAGAGAGAGAGAGAGAGAGAGAGAGAGAGAGAGAGAGAAAGGACCACTGTTTGCAACATTTCATGTCTCATAAGCAGGATTGCTAATACCTTCCCAGGGACTATTACAGCACGCTGCTGCATTCCATTAATTGCCCAGCAGATGTTCAGCAACCTTCTTTTAAAAATGTTTGAGCCAGAGTGTGTTGCTAGTGAGAGAGGCAGTGCATAATTTGGTTTGTCTCCAAGGAAAAAGAACTGTCTCCTTTCAGGAATTTACTGGCCTTATTTTATTATTTTTTTTAAATTCAGTTCCCTGTTTGCTTTT